CAGAATTACCATTTAAATTGCATATTCTCAGGAAGGAAGAGTAAATGTAAGGTGGGGCAAAAATCCCCATCAGTTTTTGGATATACCCTGGACCGAAACCCTCCGATGACAGAAGTTTGTGGAAATTAAATTGGATTAAAAGTCACTGCACTTTTGGACTCAAGAAACCATGGGCTGCAACTGAACCAGAAAAAGGCTGGTAGGGACAGTCTGGATAATATGTAAGCCCAGGGGCAGATGTCTGGAACAGGGATAGTAGGAACTGCCGATGCTGGAGAATCTGAGATAACAAAGTGTAGAGCTGGATGAACACAGCAGGCCAAGCAGCATCAGGGGAACAGGAAAGCTGACGTTTCGGGTCTGGACCCTTCTTCAGACCCCTGTCTGGAACAGGGGTTAGTTTACAGACACTAAAGGAAGTACCCCATTCATGCCCCAGCTGAAACAATGGAAGCCAGACTGCAGGAAACAAACAACTTCAACAACTTCAGACTTTCTGGAGCCTACAGAGGTACAAAGCTATTCAATTTCCAACCAGTGCTCAGGCACACAGACATTCTACACCATTGTGCTACATGTAAACCTGTTTCACCTTTGGATGTAAAAACATTCACACTACTATTCAAAACTTAACAAATACCCATCCAAGGGAAATACTGGATATTCCAAACCATCGAAACCATTCACCTCAAGGGAAAAGCCATTCACACCTTCTCCAGTGATCAGGAAGCTCATTTAGCCCCGAGAGGAGGAACAATAGCTCGGCAGCCGAAACCAGATTCGGCGGGAGATAAGGAGTCTACAGTTGGGTATAACTGGAGACCCCGATCCCAGCACTGTGCACTGTAATACCAGCAACACGCCCTGATTTCAATCAGGTGTGTGCTCTGAGGTGGGCTCTGTGTGTGCCCAGTGTGAGCGGTTCATGAGAGAAATCTGAGAGTCTGAACAAGGATCAGGCCCTGCAGGCGAAGGAGCCCTTGAGCCAAAGCCCCGAGGAAGGGAAAGGAAATCAGTCAGACTTACCGATCGAGAGATAAGTTTCCACAGACACCTCCAAGTCATGGACTCTGCGAACCCTCCACACTGACAGCAATCCCTCACAACCATCGAACACCATCAACCAACCACAAACCTCCCATCGATGTCTGGAGGCGACCGAGAGCATCCAGAGACACAAGACACCAACCGGAGCAATCAGGAAAGGAAAGAACTCAAGGTCCAATGCGCCTAACCGCATCAGCGGACACCACCAGACTGACTGTTGGCAGCACTTGCGGCCCTCCGCAGACTCCCAGCTACGGCCAGAGACTGCGGAAAAGAGCCAGCCAAAATCACATTCCACTCCAGTGGTGAGCCTAATGTCATTGAGACCCTCTAACCCAGCTTAGATAGGGGAAGGTGGGGTTCGGGTGCTAATGGTGTAGGACACCCTGAAGGAAGGGAAATGGAATAGGTTAGCACGTAATCTCTCTCTCTCTCACTCTCTCTCTGCCCTGTTAGCGTTGGTAACAGCCAATCACTGTATCTGTTTACCCACCATATCAAGTCTTGGCTGTAAAGCTTAACTGGGGATCAGGTTAACTGGGAGACAGGTCTGAGTCATCAGTAGTTGGGGTTGATATTCATCTTCTCATTTTCCTGTAAATATATTCAATTTGCTTGTCTTTCAATAAAATCAGAGTTTTCTTTGCCTCTGAAGCATCTGCCTCCTGTGTTTCCCACCACACCACATTCCACTACATCAGCCCAGTGTCAGAACCAGGGAGCTGGTGAACAATAACAGACAGCACTCCTTACATCAACTTACCCATAGAACTGTTGTAACAATTTTTACACTATTACAGGCAATAATCCTCAAAGCCAATTCACCATCTACAAGGCACAACTCAGGAGTGTGATGGAATATTCCCCACTTGCCTGGAAGAGTGCAGCCCCAACAACACTTGGGAAGCTTGACACCATCCAGTACAAAGCAGACTGCTTGATCGATACTACATCCACTCCCTCCTCCACCGACGCTCAGTAGCAGCAAATTCACCAAAGATCCTCAGACAGCACCTTCCAAACCCACAATCATGTCCATCTAGAAGGCCAAAGGCAGCAGATAAGTGGGAACACCACCACTTGCAAGGACTCCTCCAAGCCACTCACCATCCTGATTTGGAAATATATCGCTTTTCCTCCACTGTCACTGGGTCAAAATCCTGGAATGCCCTCCCTTACAGCATTGCGGTTCAACCCACAGCTGGTGGACTGCAGCGGTTCAAGAAGGCAGCTCACCACCACCTTTTCAAGGGCAACTAGGGATGGGCAATAAATGCTGGCCAGCCAGTGACGCCCACATCCCACAAATGAATTAAAAATTTTAAAAATGAATTTGCTATTCAGCTAGCAAATTTATTATTTGTCTGGCAACATTATTAAAACCTTGGGCCGAATCTTCCCAAAATTTGGCTAAGTGTCAATTTCTGGGAGTTTCGTGGAGAATTTCCATCAGTGAGTCCTAGTGACCATGTTTATGCCATTAACCTCATTAAGTATATACCCCACCTCGACAATGCCACTCTTACCCTTCTTGCACTCAACAGCATCTGATGTGTTGGCTAATCTTGAGATCTCACAGCATTCGTGGTGCAAGTGCTTTCTTAAATTCTAGCTGCACACCATTTTAAACCCTGCCAACTTGGTCTGGAGTAATCACCTAGATCAGACAGTTGCTGCTAAGAAGTATGTGCTGAGACATTGGGGAATGCTGGCCAAGAGGGATGCCTTGAGAAGAAGCTGACGAGATGCAGGTTATCTGTCAGATTTTAAAGTTGGGAATTGGCACTGTCTGGTTTCTTACCAGTACCTGGGAAAATAGCAAACTGCATGCTATTGCAGAAAATACGGAGGCATGGGATTGAGGGTGATTTAGCGGTTTGGATCAGAAATTGGCTAGCTGTAAGAAGACAGAGGGTGGTGGTTGATGGGAAATGTTCATCCTGGAGTTCAGTTACTAGTGGTGTACCTCAAGGATCTGTTTTGGGGCCATTGCTGTTTGTCATTTTTATAAATGACCTGGATGAGGGCGTAGAAGGATGGGTTAGTAAATTTGCGGATGACACCAAAATCGGTGGAGTTGTGGATAGTGCGGAAGGATGTTGCAGGTTACAGAGGGACATAGATAAGCTGCAGAGCTGGGCTGAGAGGTGGCAAATGGAGTTTAATGCGGAAAAGTGTGAGGTGATTCACTTTGGAAGGAGTAACAGGAATACAGAGTACTGGGCTAATGGTAAGATTCTTGGTAGTGTGGATGAGCAGAAAGATCTCGGTGTCCATGTGCATAGATCACTGAAAGTTGCCACCCAGGTTGATAGCGTTGTTAAGAAGGCGTACAGTATGTTAGGTTTTATTGGTAGAGGGATTGAGTTTCGGAGCCATGAGGTCATGTTGCAGCTGTACAAAACTCTGGTGCGGCCGCAATTGGAGTATTGCGTACAGTTCTGGTCACCGCATTATAGGAAGGATGTGGAAACATTGGCAAGGGTGCAGAGGAGATTTACCAGGATGTTGCCTGGTATGGAGGGAAGGTCTTATGAGGAAAGGCTGAGGGTCTTGAGGCTGTTTTCGTTAGAGAGAAGAAGGTTAAGAGGTGACTTGATAGAGACATACAAGATGATCAGAGGATTAGATAGGGTGGACAGTGGGAGCCTTTTTTCCTCGGATGGTGATGGCTAGCACGAGGGGACATAGCTTTAAATTGAGGGGTGATAGATATAAGACAGATGTCAGAGGTAGGTTCTTTACTCAGAGAGTAGTAAGGGCGTGGAATGCCCTGCCTGCAAAAATAGTAGACTCGCCCACTTTAAGGGCATTTAAATGGTCATTGGATAAACATGGATGATAATGGAATAGTTTAGTTTAGATGGGCTTCAGATTGGTTTCACAGGTCGGCGCAACATCGAGGGCCGAAGGGCCTGTACTGCGCTGTAATGTTCTATGTAAATAAGGTGAGACAAGGTAATAATGAGATGTTAATGCATGCAAATCAGCACCCTGTCATTCACTAGTGAGATTTTCATCCAGCCTTTGAAATCTTAAGCAGATAGTCAGACTTACTTTCCTTAACGAAACAATCCATTATTTTCACTCTAGCTATTTTTTCCCAACTTTTCCATGATTTCTGATATCATTTAAAGGCTGGAAAAATATAGCCCTTCTTGTTCATATCGGTTTTTTGCTGAAATTGCTGCAATGTCAACATTGTAATCCTTCATGTTTTTGTTATTTGGGATTATATCGGGTAATTTCTTAATTTAATCTCTGAACATGGAGTTTTCAAAATTTACTTTTTAATACCAAAATATATTTTTCATTGATATCATCTCAGCCCCAAACATTAAATGTTTAACTGAATGTCTTTTTTTTTATATATAGCTTGGGGTAAGTTGTCTAGTCATTCACAATTGCCAATTACTGTGTTCTTCTTCCCTATTTAGTTTTCACTTGTGAAGTGCAATGAACAGTTTGCTGTTGATTTAAACAGAACATGGGAACAGGAGTAGGCCATTCAGCCTGTTCAAATCTGTTCCAACTTTAAATGAGAAAATGCCTATTGCTATATAACTGCCTTTGGCCTATATCCCTTAATACCTATGTTTAGCAAAAATGTATCCATCTCAGATTTAAAACTAAAAATTGATCTAGCATTGACTGCCATTTGTGGAAGAGCATTCCAAATCTCGAGCGTCCTTTGTGGATAGAAGTACGTCCTAATACCTCTCCTGAACAGTCTGGTCCTAATTCCCAGACTATGCCCGTAATCCTAGAATCTCCAATAGTGGAAATCTTTATCTATCCTTTATTTTCCTGTTAATATCTTGAAAAATTTCATCAGATCACCCCTTAACCTTCTAAATTCCAGATAAACTGACTATGTATGTAATTGCATCACCAGCTTTGGTTTGCTAACGTCCTTTCGGAGGAAATTAATCAGCACTGTAATTTCTTTCCAGAGAAACCTGTTCTTCAGAGCCGACATTCCCTGGACAGCTCACGGCTTGTGGATAGAGTGGAATCTTCCCAGCCTCTATGGATCACCCTAGCGATGCAGAAGCAGAAAGGATTCCGTGAGCAGCAGGCCAGCCGAGAAGAAAGAAGACAAGCCAGAGAAGCAAAGCTAGCAGAGAAACAAACTAAGGAAAATGTATATAGCCACTATTATTTCACTGTTTAATATATTAGATATTGGGCTGAATTAAAGCAAGTTGTGGGAGGGAATCCTGAGGGACAGGATTTACATGTATTTGGAAAGGCAAGGACTGATTAGGGATATTCAACATGGCTTTGTGTGTGGGAAATTGTGTCTCACTAACTTAATTGAGTATTTTGAAGAAGTAACAAAGAGGATTGATGAGGGTAGAGAGATGGACGTGATCTATATGAACTTCTGTAAGGTGTTCAATAAGGTTCCTTATGGTAGACTGGTTAGCAAGTTTAGGTCACATGGAATACAGGGAGAACTAGTTATGTGGATCCAGAAACAATGATGGTAGGAGACAGAGGGTGGTGGAGGGTTGTTTTTCAGACTGGAGGCCTGTGACCAGTGGTGTGAAACAAGGATCGGTGCTGGGTCCACTGCTTTTTGTCATTTATATAAATGATTTGGATGTGAACATAGGAGGTATGGGTAGTAAGTGTGCAGATGACACAAAAATTGGAGGTGTAGTGAACAGCAAAGAAGGTTACCTCAGAGTACAACAGGACCTTGATCAGATGGCCCAATGGGCCAAGGAGTGGCAGATGGAGTTTAATGTAGATAAATGTGAGGTGCTGCATTTTGGAAAGGCAAATCAGGGCAGAACTTATACACTTAATGGTAAGGTCCTGGGGAGTGTTACTGAACAGAGCAACCTTGGAATGCAGGTTCATGGTTCCTTGAAAGTGGAGTTGCAGGTAAACAAGATAGTGAAGAAGGTATGTCTACACAGTCAGTTTGGATTGAGGTGCGGAACAAGAAAGGAGCAGTCACTTCGTTGGGGTTTTTTTACAGACCCCCTAATAGTTACAGAGAAGTAGAGGAGCGGATTGGGAGGCAGATACTGGAAAGGTGCAGAAGTCACAGAGTTGTAGTCATGGGTGATTTCAACTTTCCAAATATTGATTGGAAACATTTTAGTTGTAATAGTTTAGATGGAACGGATTTTGTCCAGTGCGTTCAGGAAGGATTCCTGACACAGTATGTAGATAGACCAACACAAAAAGAGGCCACTTTGGATTTGGTGCTTGGCAATGAACCGGGCCAAGTGTTAGACCTGTTGGTAGGAGAGCATTTTGGCGGTAGCGATCATAACTCTGTTCCTTTTACAATAGCCATGGAAAAGGATAGGTACATACAGCAGGGTAAGGTTTATAATTGGGGGAAGGGTAATTACAATTCTGTTAGGCAAAAGCTGGGTAACATAAAATGGGAACAGATGCTGTCAGGGAAGAGCACTATTGAAATGTGGAGCATGTTTAAGGAATGCATACTGCGTGTGCTCGATATGTTTGTCCATAGCAGGCAGGGAAGATGCGATTGAGTGAGGGAGCCTTGGTTCTCAAGAGAGATTGAACGACTGGTTAAGAGGGAGAAAGATGCTTATGTAAGGTTTAGGAAATGAGGAACGGAAAAGGCTCTAGAGGGATACAAGTTATCCAGGAAGGAGCTGAAGAAAGGGCTTAGGAGAGCTATAAGGAGGCATGAGAAAACCTTGGCAGATAGGATCAAGGAAAACTCCAAGGCTTTTTACACGTATGTGAGGAATAAGAGAATGACCAAAGAAAGGGTAGGGCAGATCAAGGATTGTAAAGGGAATTTGTGCACGGAGCCTAAAGAAATAGGAGAGGTCCTTAATGAATACTTTTCTTCGGTATTCACAACTGAGAGGGACCTAGTTGTAGAGGAAGACAGTGTGAAACAGGCTGGTAGGCTAGAGGAGGTCGATGTTAGTAAGGAAAATGTGCTAGGAATTTTGAGGAAGTTGAAGATAGATAAGTCCCCCGGGCCTGATGGGATTTATCCAAGGATTCTATGGGAAGTGAGGGAAGAGATCGCAGCGCCTTTGGCAATGATCTTTTCGTCCTCACTGTCCACGGGTATAGTGCCGGAAGATTGGAGAGAGGCAAACGTCATTCCCTTGTTCAAAAAAGGGAATAGGGATAACCCCGGAAATTACAGGCCAGTTAGACTTACGTCAGTGGTGGGCAAATTATTGGAAAGGGCTCTGAGAGACAGGATTTATGATCACTTGGAAAGGCACAGTTTGATTCGTGATAGTCAGCATGGATTTGTGAGGGGTAGATCATGCCTCACAAATCTTATTGAATTCTTTGAAGAAGTGACCAAACACGTGGATGAAGGTAGAGCAGTGGATGTGGTATACATGAATTTAAGTAAGGCGTTTGATAAGGTTCCCCATGGTAGGCTCATGCAGAAGGTAAGGAGGCATGGGATAGCGGGAAATATGGCAGATTGGATTCAGAATTGGCTGACCCTTAGAAGACAAAGGGTGGTAGTGGATGGAAAATATTCAACATGGTGCTCAGTTACGAGTGGTGTACCACAAGGATCTGTTCTGGGTCCTCTTCTATTTGTGATTTTTGTAAATGATTTGGATGAAGGAGTGGAAGGGTGGATTAGTAAGTTCGCGGACGATACAAAGGTGGATCGCATTGTGGACAGTGCGGAGGGCTGTTCTAGGTTACAAAGGGACATTGATAGAGTGCAGAGCTGGGCTGAGAAGTGGCAGATGGAGTTTAACCCTGAAAAGTGTGAGATTATTTATTTTGGAGGGACAAACTTGAAAGCAGAATACAGGGTTAATGGAAAGATTCTTGGCAGTGTGGAGGAGCAGAGGGATCTTGGAGTTCATGTCCACAGTTCCCTGAAAGCTGCCACCCAGGTGGATAGAGTTGTTAAGAAGGCATATGGTGTGTTAGCTTTTCATAAAAGAGGGATTGAGTTCAAGAGCCATGAAGTTATGCTCCAGCTGTACAAAAGCCTGGTTTGGCCACATCTGGAGTATTGTGTCCAGTTCTAGTCGCCTCATTACAGGAAAGATGTGGAAGCATTGGAAAAGGTGCAGAGGAGATTTACCAGGATGTTGCCTGGAATGGAGGGAAGGTCGTATGAGGAAAGGTTGAGAGAATTAGGGCTTTTCTCTTTAGAATGATGAAGGATGAGAGGTGACTTGATAGAGGTGTACAAAATGATCAGAGGTATAGATAGAGTAGACAGCCCGAGACTTTTTCCTAGGGTGGAGGTAGCTATTACGAGGCGGCATAGTTTTAAAGTGAGTGGAGGTAGATATAGGGGAGACATCAGAGGTATGTTCTTTACTCAGAGAGTGATAGGGGCATGGAATGCATTGCTGGAGAGGGTAGTGGAGTCGGCCTCATTAGGGGCATTTAAGCGGCTATTAGATAGGCATATGGATGATAGTATAAGGTAGGGGTGGAGGTTAGATAGACCTTAGGATTAGGGTAAAAGTTTGGCACAACATCGTGGGCCGAAGGGCCTGTACTGTGCTGTACTGTTCTATGTTCTGTGTATTTGGTATGCTTGCCTTTATTGGTCAGTGCATTGAGTAAAGGAGTTGGGATGTCATGTTGTGGCTGTACAGGACATTGCTTTAGCTACTTTTGGAATACTGTGTGCAATTCTGGTCACTCTGCTGTAGGAAGGATGTTGTGAAACTTGAAAGTGTTCAGAAAGGATTTACAAGGATGTTGCCAGAGTTGGAGGGTTTGAGCTATAGGGAGAGGCTGAATAGGCTAGGGCTATTTTCCCTGGTGCATTGGAGGCTGAAGGGAGACCTTATAGAGGTTTATAAAATCATGAGGGGCATGGATAGGGTAAATAGACAAGGTATTTTCCCCAGAGTGGGGGAGTCCTAAGCTAAAGGGCATAGGTTTAAGGTGAGAGGAGAAAGGTTTAAAAGGGATTTAAGGGGGTAACATTTTCACACAGAGGGTGGTGTGTATGGAATGAGCTGCCAGAGGAAGTGGTGGAGGCTGGTACAATTACAACATTTTAAAGGCATCTAAATGGGTACATGAATAACAAGGGTTTAGAAGGATATGGGCCAAATGCTGGCAAATGGGACTAGATTTACGGCATGGACACGTTGGACCAAAGTGTCTATTTCCATGCTGTACATCTCTATGACTCTATGACTCTAAATGGACTACATACAAAATCTGTAGGGGTTTAGTACAATTTTATGATAAAGCTGTTAAGCCTGTACTTTTGGTAGAAATCAGCAGTATTGATGGTGATGATATTTGCTTCCTTTAATACAGCTATTATTTGCATAATGTAATTATTGAGCTTCCACTGCCAAAATCACTGGGACCATAATGTCTGTGTTGTTTTGCCAATTCATGTTCGGATGTTTAGCAGCATTCAGTGGATTTAAAGAAGTTGGTTTGAAAATGTGTACGTTAAAATTTTGAGACAGTCTCATCTAACATAGGTACTTTGTGGCTATATTTTAAGAATTTTTAGTTTAAGTACACTTCACTTGCACCTTGTAGGATACATATAGCGCAAGAAAAGAAATTGATATGGGTCACTATAATCATCAGCATTATTTGCACTTACATACTGTAAGCAGAGATGAATGAAAAGTCATAAAACGAAGCATTTTGTTTCAAATCAGGAAAATCTGTGACTATCCATACCTGTCACAGACTTCTTAAGAACAGAAACCTCAACAGTCCAGTCCTGCACTATCACTGACATTCCCACACCACCACAGTCCCCTGCAACCATCTATCCCACCAGCTACCCCTGCCTGAAGGCTCTTGCAACATTAGCATCTAGAATTTCTATTTACTTATAAACAAGGCACTTGCAATCAGCAACTACATTGTGGATGAACATACTGAACTTCACTAATGAATGGTTGCATCTTGCTCTTTGTCAAAGCTTTCCTGGCTATATTTTATACATTGTGTCCAAACTTGTTGACGTGGACTTCACAGTTTTTGGTTTCTGACCCCATCTGTCCCTTAAACTCCTCAATGCTTACTAAGCATTTTTTATCTCACCTCATACTTTCCTTATGATGAGACCCCTCTTTTTCTACTTCACAACAGTGACTACAAATCAGATACACTTAAAGGTGAATAGCAAAATTCTTTTCCCTAGGACAGGGGAGTTCAAAACTAAAGAGCATAGTTTTAAGGTGAGAA